AAAATCTTCTGAAGTCAAGAAGGAGGGGCAGATTTTACAGGAAGAGCAGCAAGAAACAAAGCAACAGATACTTCAGCAAATTGCGAACAGCCAAGGCCCAGAAAAACTAACTTTCAAACCGAACTGCTGCAGTTTTTAAGGGAGTCCAAAGGGTAACGTTCATTGTAAATATATGGATTCTTTTATTATAGTCAACAATATAGCCAATTAACTAATTTAAAATTGTTAAAATTTCACAATTCAGACTAAAACTTTGTAATTTGATGCTCATCAGCTGCTTTTTGAGGGTGGTGGTGTATGGTGACAGTGTAAATCATTGTTTCACATCTGTCAACAAATCCCACTGTTCCCACTGGATGTGCTCAGTGTGCACTTATAGCCCTATGACATTCGACTTTGTTGCGAAGAGAGCTATACCATGAGAGACATAAAATAATATTAGTGTTCGGAGCCGTCTCCAGACACGGCTCCCCGACCCAAAGAACTGAGGAAATTTTTGTAACAAAATTATGTTTTCCAACACACACAGCCAAAGAGCCAGAAAATGGGATCTGAAAAGCTTCCAGCTAAACTGGAAAGCCAAGCTGACGAATATATATTTTGCTCTCGCTGGATGCCTTTCCCATAAGACCGTCTCTGTTCCTGCAATTAGTCCGTTAGCAAAGTTGAATGTCATAAGTCTATTATGACTTGTCAGTAGAGAATATTTTCAGCCGATACTATCGATTTTCTAATATGAATACATCGTATTTTTTTCAGACACCCCTAATTTGTTTCTAGGTGTTGGCTGCCAATTGTAGAGTGCAAATGAAAAGTTACGGATTGGTGTCTTCGTTGACCAAAATTTTCTCTTGTAATTTGTCTAATTCAACCTATCTATTGAGGATAGTTAACAAACCTTCTTAAGTGGCAAACCAGAATTTAAGTGTAAGTAAGGTTTAGAATTTATAAATGTGATTGTCCAAGATTTGTAGAAAATGACTGATCTGGTTCTACTTTGTGTATGTGCTTTAATAAAATATTCCCCCGTATGTGTACATGTCAGCATATACGTATATGCAACCATTCCGTTACGGATGCACGCATGCCATATTTATGAATAAGATTTTTCTAGCTCGCAATGTAAGTTTTGAAAGATTGTAATAATTTGTATAACCTAATTTTAATTATTTTTACTGTCTCGAAAAAATATATTCTACTATTTAAAATTGATTATTTTTTCTTCTCTATTTCTTTCTTGCTCTTTGTCATATTTACTGTGCGCTCTTGACGTTGGTGTGAATGGGACAAATAATCATCTTGACTGTTTTTGTCTCACCGCCTGTGGTCACGTCGACCTGCTTTTGCTGACGCGCTCTCAATTGCGCACCGCTTCGTGTCACTGGTCGTGCTGCTTACTCTAATCTGCGTTATACGCATCGGTGGTAGTGCAAAATTGCAATTTTGGTGTACAAAAAAGACAAGTGAATAGCCAACAGAAGTAGGCTACCTAACAGAAAGCAGAAAGGAAAATTTTCATCGTCTTGTGTCACACAAGAACATTTTTTAAAAATAGTCCCATTTTGAGGCTAAAATCCGTTACGCTAAACCTTAGAAAAATAAACCGGAAATTTTAGTGATTTCTAATGAGTGTGAAACAAGTGTGTGTCGCTCAAGCTGCCATAAAAAAGTGTATTTCAAACAAATAGAAGAACAGCCGGAAACCTGTAATTTGTGTTCCAGAACATAAAGAAGTTGACTAAACCAATAATAAAAAGACATTAGATTGGTCGCTGGTCTATGGAATCGCAGGAACTAACAAACAAATTTCAGGATAATAGCGAAATGATAGCAAAATACATTTATTAAAAGCTATTTATTTACACCATACGTTCCACAGTTTGATACACATGTGGTAATATTTTAAGTTTTCAGAGTTTCGATAAACAAACGATAATTACGAACGAAAGGGATTTAAAGGACAAAATGTGTGTATAGTGTATGGAAAAAAAGAGTTGCACGACACAAAAAAATACTTTGTCTATCGACACTTGATCTGTGGTCAGCTACTAGGCCGTTAAAAAGCAAATGCAAATAGATTGCCAACGTCACAAGGATCTGCTAATTCTTTAGACGATACTAGAACGCTAAAAAAAATCACGTACGTATATTTTATTTAAAATCATCCCAGCTCAGACTTACTGAAATCCGATATACTTTTTCAACTAGAACTTCCGCCACTCCCAGCATCACTGAGAACATTCGCCGGTTACAGAAATCGGGAAACACGTGAATAAAAGATTCAAAAACAAAAGAAAAAATCAGTTTTAGCGATAAAAGATGAATGAACTGGACAGTCTTAGGCAAGAAGCCGAATCTCTTAAAAATGCTATACGGGATGCTCGCAAGGCCGCATGTGACACATCCTTGTTGCAGGCAGCCGCCTCTCTGGAACCTATCGGACGCATACAAATGCGCACCCGACGCACGTTGCGGGGCCATTTGGCGAAAATTTACGCGATGCATTGGGGCAACGACTCCAGAAACCTTGTCTCAGCTTCACAAGATGGCAAGCTAATTGTTTGGGACTCGCACACTACGAATAAAGTGCACGCCATTCCACTGCGATCTTCGTGGGTTATGACCTGCGCGTACGCTCCATCGGGCAGCTATGTTGCTTGCGGTGGTCTCGATAACATGTGTTCAATTTACAACTTAAAGACGCGTGAGGGTAATGTCCGTGTGTCCCGAGAACTTCCGGGTCATGGTGGTTATCTATCATGCTGCCGCTTCCTGGACGACAATCAAATCGTTACCAGCTCAGGTGATATGTCATGTGGCCTTTGGGATATCGAGACTGGCTTGCAAGTTACTTCTTTCCTGGGCCACACAGGAGATGTTATGGCTCTTTCATTAGCCCCGCAATGTAAAACCTTCGTTTCTGGCGCATGCGATGCATCTGCTAAGCTATGGGATATTCGGGAGGGTGTTTGTAAACAAACATTTCCAGGTCACGAATCTGATATCAATGCAGTAACCTTTTTCCCAAATGGACAAGCGTTTGCAACAGGATCGGATGATGCAACATGTCGCCTATTTGACATACGCGCCGATCAGGAACTTGCTATGTACTCTCATGATAACATCATTTGTGGCATAACCTCTGTGGCGTTTTCAAAGAGCGGTCGCCTGTTATTGGCGGGATATGACGACTTCAACTGCAATGTGTGGGACACGATGAAAGCTGAAAGGTCTGGTATTCTTGCCGGCCACGATAACCGTGTATCATGTTTGGGAGTCACTGAGAATGGTATGGCTGTGGCAACTGGATCCTGGGATTCCTTCTTGCGTGTATGGAACTAAGCGGGATTTAAAAATTCATTATTGGGTGGGGTGGGGTCAACGGTTGCGCAGTCAACGGCTAGTGGTACACCATCTACATTGTGATTTGATGTACATGCTTTGGTGTAACCCCCCTGTGCTTAATTTATAATGAGTGTCTGCAGGTTTTGAAAAGGTGGGAGCAGCGACGTTGACTAGAATGTAGACCACAACAACAAAGAACTTTATATACAACATTATTTATATTGCTATATACTTATTAACTTAAATTATACAACAAACCAAAACGCAACATGCAAATAGACATACACACGCATACAAGAATATTATTAGTGTAAATTCAAAACAGGATTTAATGAAGGCCCCGCTGATAGTCAATCAGTAAGTTATTTTGTCAGAATTCAGGTTACAGTTACGATTTAAAACGTACGTACAGAAAACTTGCTTCATGTCTTATTTGTTGAGTGGACGAGTGCGCACGACCAGGAGTACAACACAATGACGCATTAGTCGTTTGCACATTGAAACAGTATCATTGAAGGCATGTATGACTTCAAACAAAATACAATTTTTCACGTATGAACCTAACTTCAGAAAGTAAATCCTGATGAAGCGAAGTCAAATAAAGTTAAAGCATTTACAAAATATAAAAATCACAGCAAAAACTAAAGGTATATTAAAATTATTGCGTAAAAAACTTTAAAAATCAAGTAATGAAACAAGTAAACAAAACACTTTATAAAAAATTTTCTTATTATGTTTAAGTCCTTAATTTATATACAAAAAAATTAATAATGATTTAAATAACATAATTATGTATTAGTGAACAACTATTTACATATAATATGATGGCCATATAAGCTACAACAATAAATTGAAAAACCACTTTAAATCCTACAATACATAAACGATTCATAAATGTTTAACAAAATCTTATACATACATACATATGCATACATAGAATAGCGGAAGTGATGGGCGGAAAAGTAAAATAAAACATACATTTTGCAATAACAGCGCTTGAAAATATAGATACTATCATACACAAACATTTTGTTCAATTGTTTTCCCCATTTATTATTAGGTTTTCCAGTTTTTAAATATCTTATTTTTATCTGCAAGGAAAGGATTTTTCCTCATACAAATATATTAATTACAGTTTTTATAGTTTTTGCCTTTTTTCCCAGCAGAATAACCCATGTCGGCCATGCACCACGGTTAGATGGATTTCTTAATATTTAAAATTATTTGATGCTGTTGTCGCGAACTTGCAGATACAGATTTAAACATACTGTTGTATAATTTTTACAGTATGCACGGATGCACGGATTGGGTCCGATAGAAAAACAGCTTGCAAGCAGTTAAAGCTATCATAAATGTAATATATTTCAGCAAGAAATCACAAACATACGTGTATTGAACTAAACTCAAATTCATCACAAGAACATTGTTTTCAACCTTCGTATACTTATGACGTATTGGTGTGTTAATGGTATTTTAAAGTCTGCAGTGTATTAGACCATTGCATTTTTTTGAGCTGTGTAATTTTATAAGTACGTCACAATGTTACGCTCGATGCACTCCCATATGATTCGTATATTTTTTTTATAAACCGTAAGCTCAAAACTTAATAATGTATGCATTTCTGCAAATTTAGCTTAAAATAAAACAAAGCTACATACCATAAGTTAAATGCTTTATTTTATTTCTATAATTTTAACCCAGAAATTATAAGTCTACGCAGACTCTTAAATATGTTAGTATCAGAATATTTTCCGTGCAAATATAAAAATTAAAATTTATATACAATTTTTAATTTGTTTCTAAATACGATACTATTTCTCAAAAATGCACAAATACATAGATATTTTAGTTAAATGTTTATAATTTTGCCTAATATCTACATATATATACCGAAAGCGAATAAAATTAATGAAAAGTGTATCTTTGTAATTAGCAATTTACATTACAAAGTAAACCAATTAAAATGTTTCGACAAAAAAAATTGGCATTTAAATTAAAAAAAGGGTACGTGTTCATTTGAAAATAACTCACATACACAAAAGGAAAACATATTCAGAAATAAAACTAAATAAAATAATTTATAATTTGTGTCATAGCCGTCAACTCAGCGTTACCTAGAATATACATACATACAATAATAAAGAAAATTGTGTTAAGCAAACGCCAATGAAATTAATGTATGTATGTGAATGCATATTCACATTCATAGGTTTACATATGCACATGTATCTATGTACATGAAGGATCAATTTATTGAATAAGTTGTTCGTGGACGTAAATAAGAAAGACGGGTTAAGTATATGATAGCAATATGCACCGATGTACATAAACGTATGTACATACATATGTAGTGAATGAAATTACAAAGGGTTCAATACACGTGGTAATTTCATCACAATATTCACTTGTCATTTAATTGTAATAAATCATAAATGCCTCAGACAAAAACACTGTAATAAAGGTGCATGAAGTGTAAAAATCGAAATCATACTTGAAGGGCATAAAATTCAGTATACAAATGTATACGTTCAGGAAAAAAGGCATATTTTTTCGTATTTTTAAAAATTTTCTTTAGTGAACTTTTTTTTTAAGTTTCACAATTTTTATAGAAAGCGTATAGTTATGTATATAAATATCACAAAACAATAAGATTTAACAATCAGTCAGCATAAAATTCCAATTTGGACGAGAAAAATACCCCTTCTCGAATTTTAATCGGTTTCTGAAAATTGTTTACATATGTATGAACTGGTACCTTTCCAAATTTTTGGTTCTTTTAATCGACACCAATCAGTCTATTTATTATAGTACGGGTACTAACAGTTGAACCATGATAGTTAATTAAATCTTCCGATGACGGAAAGGAAAGTTTTATTTTTGAAACACAGAAAACAGTTTTTTTGTAACATTTTAGTTTTGTGGCATTATCAGACATTGTTTTGCCTTCAAATTTTTGATTTAGGGTGTTTTCTTTTAATATCCGTCAATGTACTTCACGACCGATTCTGAAAAATATAAGAGTAAACAACAAAACCGGATCCGCTGGAATAGTTATTTTATATCTTCTGTCTTAACTTCATGAAATGCTACGTCTATAATTCAATTTCACCATTTTTAAAAATGATTTCAGTGTGTTTCAACTTTTTTGCCAAGCCTACAAAATTAAAAAATGTATGTATTTAGTTTTTTGAATCTTATTGTTTTGATATATTTTGATACAGAATCAATTAAAATTATGAAACTTGAAAAAAAAATATTCACTGAAGAAAATTGCGAAAGGTATACAAAAAAAGCCGTTTTTATTATTTTTTCTATAACTGTATGTACATACATATGTACATAAGAACATACTTCCTTACCTTGAAGTCTGATGAAATACGATCATTAATAATACCCATTTAAGTTTTCAAGGTTCTTGGCCATTTTGCCCGATATGGTTTGTGTGATTCAACCAAAAGCTCCGAAATTTGAAGGAAATCAATCCTCCCTGATGAGCACAAAATAGATTCGCAATATTTTCCAACGATTTCAGCCTTCGGTGCAAGGGCGATAGAAAATCGGCAGTCTACCGCTGCTGAGCAAAATATTAAGTGTTTCGCGATAGCTATGTCATAAGACTATCATGTTATTCACTCAGTTGTGCAATAACTGCAAGTTTAGAGTTAATTTTTTTTTTTAAACAAAAACCAAAAAATTTTTTTGGATTTAAATCTTTATTAAGAAACGGACGAGGAAAAAGACGACCTGCGCGCCTGCCAAAAGACTCTACCGCCACTCCTGACTATTCAAAATTTTTAAATTGTAAGACCAGGATCTTTTGCAACTTTCAATGTATAGACTAGTCCCAAAATTCAACGTCACAAACAGCAAAGGGTGGAGAGCACTAGATCGGTCCGTGGGTCAATTCCCCTTAAGTTGCGTCAGCAATCAAGGATTACATTTAAAATTATTCGAATAATACTCACAAGTACTAGTGGGCCGACTTAAAAACTAAACTTGGTGATACTCAGGATTTTGTACAATCTTCCGTAAGAATGTTAACAGTCATAATAATTTATATTCGTCGATCATATATTCTCCCATCTCTTATCATGTTATCTAGACATACTAGGCACTTACACTATGTTGATATAGACAATTCGAGTCAGATGTAAACCAAGAACATACATAGCCCCCCCCCTATCGAAGCTTCTCGGGAGTTATAAAAATCAATTTAAGTGCACCACTCAGACCAGTAATCGTTCATTGACAAAAAAACTTGTGAAATCAACATTTGCTTCCAGTGTGGGCATTCAAATCTGCAAAACGCGCTTCTTAAAGGAATATTTAGATTCGCAAATATATCATGCGAAACTCAAATAACAGAGAACCCAACTATGTACATGCATAGATTGCTCAAGTGCAAAAGACCTTGGTTGCCCAAAGTAAGTTGGAGACAGTAAGATGGTGCAGTGCACATATGCACACATTACCACAGAAGCAACCCACAGGAGCCACCCTGTATCTATCGACGCAACAATTCGTCTGTTTCGGCGTTACCCCACCATTTTGGATGTTCAGTGGACGTTATGCAATTACTGCATCTTTAAATTAGCAATGCTATTATTACACAATCAAGTGGCCCCTGTGACACCAGCAGAAGGCTGGTACGCGTGAATTCCAGTCAAAACGCAGCCCTCCTCCCGCTCAACTGACCGAGGCGCGCTGCCGCATGACGCGAACGCGAACATGCAGGAAAGATAGCTGTTAGACTGTTAATATGCGAGGAAAATTATAACTAAACTTACTAAGAGAACTAAGCATGCATTTAAAATACAAATACGACTACAATTAATAATTACGAGAAAGGTATGTGGGTATTGGTAATTTAATAAGAGGAAAGGAATTAGTGGTGGATATATTATGGCAGAGGGAATTATAATACAAGCATAAAACCCTAAACGGTCCATGCAAGGAATAATTCGATCTACAAACTGGAAGGGACAACGGTATATAATTTCTATTGAATCTAATAGGAATCGTAAAGTTTATGCGGCTCTGGATCAAGTTGCGCACAAAAATCACACTAACTAAGGATGGGAGGTTTACTAACATCAATCTACTAAAGTAAGATGGCATTCTCACGCCTGCACCCAGTAACTGCGTAACTTATTTGCAGTTATTATTTGCGACTATTTTAAGCACATATAAAGCACATCACAACAACTTGTCCCGTTGCATGGTGTAATTAAAAGCATTAAGATCCTTTTGTTAATTTTTCTATCGTTAGGTTGATTTAAAAAATTTGATTGTTTTACTCGTCATCTCAGACTGAGAAAGTAGTAAAAAAAAAATTAGTTGGGCTTAAGCCGAGGGGGAACGCTCTGAGTCGCAGCTACGGCCGCGACTACATTTATACCCGATACATAGTCAGTATGGCTTTTATCCGCCAGAGTGCGGACTATTATTAGCGGTCTGACATCTTGATCTCAGATTTCGACTCTAAACAAAGCTTGTGTTAGATTAAATGATAATTAATAAAGAAGAATAACAAGAACTCAAGCGTACATTGGCCAACCCGCCAAAGTATTATGTCAGCCCGGATCGCAGCCCCTCAGCCACACTGATGACATTGTGGTATTGTGGCAGCCCGGATCGCAGCCCCTCAACAACACTGATCTTAGAGTCGTTCGCTGGTGACGCAGCTCCGGCGACTATTATTAGCGGTCTGGCATCTTGATCTGAGACTTCGACGATAAGAGAACATTTTGTAGATTAAATATTAGTTAATAAAGAACATCAATAAGAGTTCATGCATATGTTGGCCAACCCGATAAAGTGGTGACCCCTACGTTAAAAAACAACCGCAAATGTAAGAACAGCACAATTTTTTGCATTCCTCGATCAAAGACAAACTGGCAGAAGACGTCGACAAATTTTACGACGCAACAAACATGGCGAACACATCAAATGAGTTAAGGGTGCAACTGCAGCAGCTTCAAGTAGCAGCCGCAGCCAACAGCTCCAAACTCTCAACATTTAGCTCAGATCATCATTCCAAAATTCAATAAATTGAATCCGCATCTTTGGTTCGCACAACTGGAGCGCCTCATTAACTAGCACAATGTGGTGCACGACGACCACAAATTTGACCAAAAAATTTCGTGCAATCGAAGATCTCATTACTCGCCCACCGTCTGACAACAAGTACGACGCAAGTAAGCGTCAGCTGCTCAAAACCTTCGGCGAGTCAGAGGATTCAGAAATGAGCCGACTGTTCCGGGGAGGAGACATGACTGTGAAGAAGCCATCTGAAATTTTGCTTCACTTACGTCGCTTAGCACCTGCTAATGGAGTTGCCTTCGTCGATTTTTCCGCTCATTTCGGTTTGCGAGGAGAATGATCTGGACAAGCTGGCAAAGATTGCCGACAAGATTAACGAAAATAGCGCCATCGACTCCATGTGTGTTATGTCGACTCAACCCAATTCCGGTGAGCAAACTCAGCAGTGCGTCGATGCGGTAAGTAGCAAGAGTCCGAAGACGTTGCTGCTGCGTTGCACATTCTTACGCAAAACTTTGATAAGCTACAACACATCATTCCCAAAAAGCCCAAGGTTCCCCATGGCACGAACGTAGATTATAATGCCAACAAGGCATCCCTGTGTTACTACCACAGTACTTTTGGTGATCGCGCAAGCAAGTGCCGGCCAGACTGCCGATATTATTAACAGTTAAATTAAAGCTGCTACCGCTGACTCAGCTGGTAGGGGGTAGCATCTCAACGACCAGCGACAAGTTATCTGTGAATCACGAGCACTGACTGCACATCCATGATAAAAAAACTAATCGGATTTTTCACATCGATTCCGGATCGGTGGTGTCAATTACACCTTGCACTATGAGCCAACGCAAACTTAGCGATGACAAACTGAAATTGTATGCCGCAAGCCAGACTACCATTAGAACCTTTGGATTTCAGGAGCTCGAACTCGACCTGGTCCTGGACCGTTCATTTAAATGGTCATTTGTCATCGCTGATGTACAAACCGCAAATATCGGCGTTGTCTTCCTAGCACAGTTCCATTTGTTTATTGACATCAAGAAACAACGTCTCACCAACGGCACAAGCATATCTGTAATCTCGCAGGAGTTTTCTTCGCCAAATATCGATAAAACGCATCAAGACAATGACCGACACACCGATAACTTCACCCTCGACAACTCTGTGTTGAGCGTTTTCAAGTGCGGTTGTTTTGTATCACGGGCTCCAGGTTTTCCGATTGTGGCATCCGTGCTGCGCTTGTGATCCGAAAGAAAAGTTGTTGAGAGCAGGTTGCCGACGCGCCGGTGCTTACTGCGTATAATTACAGGCACCACCGACACCTGCTCTGTTGCAGGGGCACAATCGGTGCGCTCCAGGTAGAAGGGAGAAGGGTGTGAACCCTCGTTTTGGCGCCTTCCACTTTCCACATTGTTTGTGGAGGAAAAAAGGAAGGAATTTTCACTCAACTTTCTTCTTTTTTTCGTCTCGTCCGGAACATCACACATAGCATCTGATCGCGCAGCCAGACAGGTGATCGCGCAGAGTTGCCACAATGACTGTGATGCCAGACAGCCCTGAACGACTTAGAGCTGCCAGAGTGTTGGGGTTGCGCGCCAACGGAGATTCAAGCTCGAAATCTCAATTCTTAACGATAGGAATGGAGCAGGAGGAAAAGCAGGCCTTCAGGAAGGGTAGCATGCTCGCCCGATCGCCGGCACCCGAGCCAACTCCAGCAGCAGCGGGCCAGAGTCGGGACCACGACTCTAGGGAGAGCCCCAAGAGGGTCCGGGACCCAGCCAGCCCGGGAAGTTCACAGAGGCTAACGCCGCCCAAGAAGAGCAAGGCCCACCAGGAGGCTACCTGCCTCGAGAACCTCTCGGAGCTGGGGAAAATCCTTGACGAGGTTTAAGCCAGGATGATGGACAAAAATACACGCCACATCAACATGGCCTCGAATTAGGTCGCTTTCTTGGTATAGTTAACTATTACCACCGCTGTATACCTCATGCATCAGAAATACATGTGCCGCTCAACGACTTGACACGTAACATAAAGAAAAAGACAAACGGCCAGTGCAGTGGACGCCAAGCTCGATTAAAGCATTCGAAAAGTGCAAAAATAGTAAAGCTAACACCGCAACCCTCGCTCACCCCAGTCTGAATGCAGAGCTATGTCTCACGTGGGAAATCTCCGATACGGCTGTTGGAGCTGTGCTTGAATAAAACACGAAAGGGAATTGGGATCCTCTCGGTTTCTTCTCCAAAGGAGGTATAGCACATACGATAGAGATCTGTTATCGATTTACGAGACTATGAACTACTTCTAGCATATGTTGGAGGCTAGGATCTTTGTGATCAAAGCTGATCACAAGCCACTGATATATGCCGTCAACAAGAAGCCAGAGAAAGCGTCGTAGGGACAGCTACGGCAGCTGGGGTTCATATCCCAACACTCCACTGCAATCGTGTACGTGAGTGGCACTGAAAACGTAGTTGCCGATGACCTCTTCAGGATTAACGCCATCACCATGCCGACGACTCTGGATACTAGAGCTATTGAAACTGCTCAGGCATCGGATATCGAATTGCCTGACATTTTAAATCGAGACACGTCTTTAAACCTACAAGCAATT